ATATACACCAAATCCACACTGATAATCTCATCTACATAAGCAGTGACCTCTTCAAAGATTGCCCAAGAATTAGTAAGGTATTTTCTGCAAGTGAAATCATGCAAACTATCTGACAAAATTTTAAATTTTATTAAATGACTTTGCAAACCATCTATCTATTATCAGACTTTCAAAAACTTTTTCAAACATTGATTAAGACTAATAGGCATATAATATATTATTATTTCTAGCACTTAAAGATTTCTACATTTTTTAAGACTGAGCATGACATCACACAGTATTGTTAAATCATCTTTCTGGCTTTATTGCAACTATAACTTCAGCATGGGTAAGTAAAGCTTTAATGCTAGTGTACATTATACATATAATTTATTATTTTAAACATCAAATTCCTTTTTTAGCATACAACTGTTTTACACAAAACAAAAGAATACTACACATTATCAAGTGTTTTTGCACCTGAATTTTATAATTTCCTGCAAAATTCCCTATACTAAACAAATCTAGAATATTCTGATTTCCTATTTCAAAAACTAGCTAGTGTTTCCTACTTTATGCGGGCACCAATCTTTAGTACAAATATTCTAGTAATCTCTGTGTTTAAGCTTTATGTTATCATTTTGAGCACTTACAGATTTGTCAATTTTTTTAAGATTGAACAATATTTGTAACTGACACGCACACAACACACAGAATATGAAAGCAAATTTATTGAATATTTATGGAGGAAATTATTGACACCAGTTTAAATTGTTACTACGTGCATTATTAATTTCAATATGTAAAGGTGCAATACAGTTATCTCACCTGCATGACTGAAAACCATTATTTTTTCCAAAGAGAAAACTTTTCCTACCCAATACAACCATACCTTTTCTTCTTTTTCTTTTGACTTTTTCTTCTCTTTCTCCTTTTCCACTTTATTTTTACTCTTCTTTTCTGTTTTACATTTTTCCACTTTTTCTTTAGGTTTGGGCTTGTTCTCACTTTCTTCTTTTTTCTCTTTTGGTTTCTCTTTTTCTTTTTCCTTTTCTTTCTCTTTGTTTTTCTCTTTATCCTTACTTCTTTTTTTAATTTTTTCTTTCTTGTCAATTTTTTCTTTTTTCTCTTTTTTATGTTCTTTCACTTTTGGCTGCAATAAGAAATACACTAGCTCTCATAACAGAAATGTATTTTCCTACCACACAAGGAAAATGTGAAAAATTAAAATTTTCCTATACGTAAAATGTATTTCCAATAGGTACTTCCCCCCTCTCACAAGATTAGCTATTCTCATTCATTGCTGCCCTCTATATGCAGACTTTTTTTACGCTTGCCGCAAGCCTTGTGCACCCCCTCTATTGTCTCATCATGCATCACTTCACCACCAATAGGAGAATAGTACACTCATGTGACACATGTGACTCCCTCTATGTGCCTCTACCAAACCATCACTTCAAAGTTTGGCAGATGGCGGAAGCACTGGAAGTGTGAGAAGAGGGAAGTACCTATCAAAAATACATTTTCAGCATAGGAAAATTATAACTTCTGATATGGTTGGAACCACATCACTTTTAATTCAGGTATACTCTTTGCCCATATGTAGAATATGCAAGAACTCATGGTGGAAAATGGGAGAAGCACATCCAAGTGGGAGAGAATGCAGTAGGAAAGTGATCCTAGCTGGAGAAAGATATAGTAACTCAATCCCACAATAAGAAAAGTGGGTAAACGAGGATGCATCCCATGGTGTAGAGTGGCTAGGATGTGGCGGACCATATGCAGTAAGTCAACTACAACCAAAACCTCTTCGTAGAGTACCGATATCCGTGTGATGGTACGATGAGGATCATACCATCTTCATCTGCAACCCAAGAACCTGGGAATTGAGAAAAACTCTGATTCCTGGGAATTACACAGGATTAGATCTGAGCTATAGATCTGGGAATTTGACATCCGGTATCAAAAGAAAGTCTATTGCATGCAATCAACTCCCGCGGCCATGAAACAGGTTGGGTCCATCCAAAGGGCAATGACATCCACACAATTAGAGAAAACGATGGAGAGCCAAGGATAGAACCGAAATAATCCAACGTATCCCTGCTGTGACCCACAACACAGAAGGAGGAAGGTAGACAACCCTAAACCTGTGTAAGAACTTATGTTGATTGATTCACTTGATATCCAAAACCAGGCCGTGGCGTACCAACATCCACGTGAGGGTAGGAAGAGGGCTCTCAATTGAAGCAGTGAACTGCATAATGATGTCTCATTCAGTTGTATGGTTAATCATAAATCAGAGGATATTACATCATCTACACCGGAAGAAACGACCACCTTACTCTGAACTGAATGGTTATAGCCATCTTATGTGGAACCCATTCAGCAGGGTGGCTCCATGGATGACCACCCCAGCAGCTTGTAAGTGGTAAGGACTCCCATACTCCATTAGAAAAGGGGACTAAGAATGCATTGGAGAGCCCGGAGGTACATTGACACCCAGGACAGTGCAATGGGTGATCATGAAACCCTATTTTGAAAAGCAGACCATCCCAATTTATTCAATCAAGGCATGGCAGGGATGGGTAGCCATCCCCTTCTGCTTTACCCATAAGGTCCATGGGTGGTACGGCTCAAAACGGGACAATTTGTGAAGCAAATATTGTGAGCTTATTTACTTACAAGAGATCTTGGAAAAACCCTATCTCAAAGGTAAGCACGCAAAGCCATAGAAAAGGAAATACTAGTTAACATGGTGTGCAGTGCAGATTTAAAGAATACTTGGTCAGGCACCACTTGCCACAGAGTGGGATCCATATAATGAAGGTATGAAGAATGAGGCCCTGACAGAAATAATAAAGATTTCCTCAGTGTCAGAGTAGCACAGAAGTGTGAAGTACAGCCACAGTTGGAAGGCAAAAATCTGAGAAAACTGAAATTGCAATATGATATAAATAATGGGAGATGAACGTGTTAGGGTTGGTCTACATGCCCAATTGTAGAATTTCCTTCAAAAGCCGACAAAGATGAGAAGCGAGAGAATAGGAGAGGTGTCGAATTTGATTAGAGGTAACAGAGAACAACATACAGTGGGAAAGGGACAGGAAGGAATAAACCAACTGGATCAAATGATGAATCCAATTGGTTAGCGTACAAGAGGAGAGATCTCTGAACGAAGAGAGTTGTTACAGGATAAAGAGAAAGGAACGAGAACCATTGAAGGAAGCCGTGCAGGCAATATAAAAAGGAAGGCCATGCACAGGACATAGAAGTCTACCTGGATCAGGATGTTAGTAGAGATGAGAAATAGAGGGAAGGAAAACAGGTGAAAAGGAGGAGTTACTCTCATGAGCTGCCAAGGTTTTGAGTAGGAAGGAATGATTCAGATGAAGGAGAAGATAGGTATGGTGATAAATTGTAAGTGTAATGTCAATGTTGAACAAGTCAGACAGTCGACACCGACAGGCTAAAAGGAGAAGGAAATATGTCTTAAGGGACAGGTGAAACAAATAACACGAAGAAACAGGTTTGAACGGAGGTAAAGTAAGGGAATGGAGGACCACATTAGTGTCCCAATCCAGAAGAGCAGGTTGTCAAATCTGAAAGGAGCAGATTAACATGGTAAGGATAAAGCTGCCCGATAAGCTGAATTCAAGTCAAAAAGCCATGTGAGAAACTTGGAGACACCAGCAACAGTAGAAAGAGCAGCAGGAAACCTCCAAGCCTGGGCCCATGTGTGAAAGACCTTCCACTTTTGCTGATACACTTCAATGAAGAAAGGAAGGATGGATTGAGCCATATGAAAAGTTACATGACAGGAGAAACCAGATCTCCTCGCCAAGGACTGGACAAAAGTCAGGAGTGAAGACGGAAAACGTAAAGTGCGGGATGCAGAACTGATGACTGGGATTAATGATGGAAGTTAGATAATAATGGAAGTGGTACAGGAGGGAATAATTGCAGTTGGAGTAAACAAGGAAACCATGGTTGAGCCAGCCAATAGGGTGTGATCAGAAGGACCCGGCACTGAGTGGCATGGATAAGGGAAACTACCTGATGAAGCAATTCGGACATGATGATAAACATAAGGATTTTGTGTGATCAATCCTGGCTGAAAGTATTTATATGCAAAGCCTGAGGATGAGGTAGCAGGAACCAAAGGAAGAGCACTGATGATTTAGATTAGTGGGAAATGCATCAATGTGAGGAAAACCCCACAGATTGCAAAGCCACTGGAAAATGAGAAGATGAAGGGACCTCTCTGTTGGGTAAATCTTGTCAGGGTGAGAAAGATGACTCGCCACGAGGTTGAAAGCACTCGGGACATGACATGGAATTAAACGAATGTGTTGCGAGTGATCCCAATACAGGAGAACAAATGTATGAAAACAGAGGGATTTTGACCGAGTGACACCTTGGTGATTGATTTAAGCCACCATCATTGAATTGTTGGAATGGATCATTACCAGATAATGTCTGGCAATGGCAAAAAAGTAATCCAAAGCCTGATGAATGACTAGGAGCTCTAGGACATTGATATGTAAAGATCATAAGTTGAAAGACCAACAACCCAAAGCCTCCTGGTGATTGACTCATGCAACACAATTCTGAAGGGATGTGTCTGTAAAGATATGTAAATCCAGAGGAGAAGGAAGTGGGGTAACCACTGATGTGTGAGTCTTGTCTAACCACCAAAGGAGATCATCTACAAATGAAAGAGGAAGAATTATGGGAGCATCCAAGGGATCCTGAGCAAGGTTTCATTGATCATACAGAGCTCACTGAAGGGAGTGCATGTGTGGGAGCTGAGGGGGATTAGTGGTGTCATAGAAGATCACATCCCTAAAAGTGACAGAACCTTGTGTGCAGAAAGTCAGGAAGCAGACAGGGCATGGCAAACTGACAATTTCATAGAAAGGAGTACGAAAGAAGGTTGGGCCCAACTGAGGTGAGTGTTGAAAAAGACATCCAAATGCACAAGGTATTGAGTAGGATGCTGGAAGGACTTCTCCAGTTTGATCAACCCATCCTACCAGAGCAGCTTTGAGAAGGAGCTGATGAGTATGACTGGCCAACTTCTGTTCAGAATGGGTCAGAAGTAGCCAGTTGTCCATGTAAAAATGGAAATGCAGCCCCAGGGAATGAAGATGAAGAACATAAGCTCTCACCACATAAGGAGTGCAGGCTAGCTCAAAGAGTAGGGCACAAAATTAGTACACCACTCCAAGATGGACAAACAGAGGATAAGGACAAGATTGATCTGAGATGGGAATATGCAGATAAGCATTGGAGACATCCATTTTGGTATTCCAGAGACCTGGAGAAAATGCCCACTGAAGAGTGAGGCAGGAATCCATGGTGAAATGTGGGAGGTGAACAAATCGATTGAGGCATGACAGATGGATGACAAGCCTCCAGTCCCCAGTCTTTTTGGGAACGTTTGATAGTCTGGTGGGTGAGAAGGTTCTGTACTGCTTCTGATAGATGCTGGCAAGTTATGGGATCCTGAGAAGAAGGGAAGGAAACAAGTACCTGGGACAAGGAGGTGGGACAAGAAATGGAATTTCGAGGCTCTCTGACAAAACTTGAAGAACCCAAACCTTGGTGATAAAAGGAATCCACAGATGATTGAAGGCCACAAGTCAAGCTCCCACCAGGGCCAAATCCACCAGATAGTCACAAAAACTGGTGGCAGTGTATCGTACGTTGTCGAGAAAAATGACAAGCTATGGCACCATGAGAAGGAGGGACAGATACGGTCTGGGAAGGTGAAGGACAGGAAATCAGAATTGGTACCACACTCAGCTTCAACTGAGATAAATGGACTAGCAGATGGGAAAGGTAGATCGTTGCTGGACAGTTGTCACCCGAGACTCCAAGGACCATATCAAAGATGAAACATCTTAAAAAGAGATCCATATGCAAGTCCTGGAGATAAGGAGCAGGTAAACAGGTTCTTGATAAAACTGCTTCATGAACTAAAAGGTCCCAACAACAGATAAACCACGTTTCTAAAGCCAGAGCCGAAGATGAAAAAAGAGCCAACATGGAGGTAAGGAGAATGTCTCCAGAAAATCCCTCAAGATTTCTGTGAAGAGCCTCAGACAGGAGATTGATTGTGGAAAGGTACTGCAAAAGAGTGGTAAGGGTAAG